GGGTAGGAAACCCTTGGCTACGAAAGTACTAGCGCGGCGGTCGGACTCATGGCGGGCCAAGCACGCGGCACTTGGGAGTGTCCTCCGGCACTGCCCGACTCGAGGACACCCCTCTGTCTCTGTCCCTGCCCCTTCCGCACCGTGACCTCATACTCTCCACTCCCCTCCTGCAGTCTCCTACATGCTTTCTCACACCTCTCCTGCGCAGTCTGACCACGCACAGCGCCTGAACGCGGCGAGCTGCAAACTCACCCTTTGCTTTCCTTTAGACTATGAACGCCACCAGGCCTGCAATTCCTTAAACATAAAGCAGACTGCTTTGCTAAATAAATAAATAAATAAATAAATAAAAGCTGACCAGTTCTATTGGTCATTCCTTGTTTACTGAGTCAAACTACCTGTAAATAATAATAATAATAATAATAAAATAAAACAACATTATGAGACAGATAAACTTAAACAATGGCTATTTGGTGACTACCTGGTGGTATTAAGAAATTAATGTTCCTTTTTCTAGTTATGAAAATTATATTGCAGTTAGTTGTGCTTTTATAAAAGCCAGTATCATGCAGCATTTGACATGGAAATATCTGCAGCTGCCATGACATACCATCGGGGATCTGCTCTGGGCAGTGTGGTGGGAGCTGCGGGGTGGCCAGGGTACAGAGGAAGCAAGGAGAGCCCCGAGCCAATGTCAACTAACCCTGCATGGTGGGTGAGCGGGGCTCACTGGACTGATCTCTTTACAGGCTTCAAGTTTTCCATAACAAATTTAAATAAGTAAATGTATGCATGTAGACACTTGTGAGAGATACGTGCAAATAAAGGATAATAAAAATTCAAGGTAGTTACAATATTATAGACTATGTCCGAGAAAACGGAGATTAATTAAGTAAGGTGCTCAAATAAAATGGGGTCAGTCCCCGAGTGAAGCAGTTACAACCGTGCACGGGAGCTGGTCCCACACAGCCTGTCACGGTTTGAATCTCAGCCGCGAAATCCTAACAAGACTGGGGAAGGGCTGTATGTTCACCACACCCCAGAGGGGGCTCTCTCTCTCCAGGAAGCACATGCACTTCCTTATCACAGGAAAAATAAAATACCTGTTTATATCTGTGGTTATATCTAAATCCACTGGGAAAAAAAGAATAAAAAAATATACATAGTATTTTAATAGTGAGTATCTCTCAGAAAGGGACAGAAAATAGGAAGGAATGACAGCAGATTCTGGTGTGCTTTGTTTTTTTATTTTACTCTTTCCACTATTCATATCCCTGTTCACTATTTAACTTGTGTATAAGAAAGTGTATGTCTAGGGAACCAGCAGTTAGCGTAATGGCTATGTTGCTAGACTCCCACGTAGTCGACCGTGGTTCGCGTCCCAGACTCGGTGGCTTAAAACTCACGCTGGGCGCATGTGCATGCGTGCCCAAGATCCCGAGAGGAGAATGGAGGAGAAGGGATTGCAGCGTGACCATCCCCCCTGGGGGGTGATTTCTCGCTTTCTGTCTCTCTCTCTCTGTCTCTCTGTCTCTCTCTCTGTCTGTCTGGCGAGCGCACGCGCCCTATAGCCAAAAAAAAAAAAAAAAACCTCTCCAAGAAAGTGTATGTCTATATGTGAATGACTGTTAGTATCTGAAAGAGAAGTCAAAACAGACTTAAGCAGGGCCAGCAGGTGGCACAGTGGTTAAAGGCACTGAACTCCCACATGTCTGACCATGGTTCGAATCTCAGACCTGGTGGCTTGAAACTCATGCCCGGAACCTGTGTGTGCGTGCCTAGAATCCTAGGAGGAGGAGCAGGAGGAGGAATTGTGGCATGGTTATCCCTCCTAAATAACCATTTTCTCTCTCACTGCCTCTCTCTGTCTCTCCAGCAAATGCCTGTGCCCTAGGGCAAAACCTTAAAAAAGGAAAGAACAAAAAGAAAAAGAAAATCACATCAGGCACATGTATGCCCTAAAGCCTGAGAAGAGACTGGAGAGGAAGGGATTGAAGCGTGCCCTCTCCCCCAGGGGGTGACTTCTCACTCTTCCTCTCTATGTCTCTGTCTCTCTCTTGCGAGTGCATGCACTCCATGCAAAAAGAAAAAGAAAAGAAAAGAAAAAAAAATGGTTTAAGCAGCATAAAAGACATATTCACTAGGAACACACTTCCCTTCAGTCCAGGTCCTTGCATGCTCCAAGTGAAATAATTTTAAAGTAATCACACCTATGACTTTTGACTTCAGGAAGACTTAAGAGCAATCAGCCCATCTGTTTTCTAATTTCTGCACAATCTGACATGCAGCTCCTGCCGCACCTGCGGTTCTCGCTCCCTACAAATCCAGGAGCAAAGACAAAGGATAACAAAAATGAGCAAGTAAATCTACTATTCTTTACCTCGACCGGCAGGCCAGCGAGCTTCCACAGTGAAATGCCCCGTGTGAAGATGAAGGCAGACTACACGGGACTCCCTGCTTGCTGCGGGGTTGCCTGTAATCACTTACAAAAACGCAAGTGTGGGAAGAACGATTAGCCATCCTGACCTTTTAACACCTGAGTACTAGCAAGAACTCCGACTTTCTCCTGTCTGCCTGACACCTTCCTGTAAAGAAAGGAAACCTCGCTTAACATGTGTACTTGATAAAAAGAAAACTCATCTCCTGTGCAGCTGCGCACCCTAAACCGTCAGCAGAAAGTGAAATGTTCCAAACAAAAACAAGACCTTCTGGACAGAACCCCAGAACAGGAGGTAAAGACACTGCATTCCCAGCAGCTATTTGGCTCCCCTTCTCCGTTCTCTAAAGCATTTCGCTTTCCCAGCACAGCCAAATCCATAAAACGGTAGTCCGCTCCGGATCAAGCTCATCTTCACGGGGCGGAGCGCCAAACCGGCACCGAAGAAGTTTCCCTGTTCTCTCCAGGATGTGCGTGGCCAGACTGCCCTCTATCGTCCAAAGTGGTTTCTACACCAACGTTCAGGACTGCTTTGGGACCTTTGCGTCTTCTAGTGATAATTGTATTTCCAGATACGAATTTAACATCGACTCTAGATAATCACTTAAAGTAAAGAAGGTTTAGAGTTAATCTTTTGTGGAAGAGTAGTACTAAGTGTAGATTTTCGTAAAAGACGATGCTAGCCCCTAGCCAGCTGAGAACATGGCTAGCCTGAGGCTGTTACAGTGTTCGGTAACAATGGTTTCCAGAGTTCCGAACCGACTGTCGTAAACGCTCCTGACAATCCTGTTCCCGCTACTGCCCAGCACCTTTATCTCGGCCTCACACTTCCTGCTGTATTCAAAGCTTGCACCAAGCACCAACAGAGGTACCTTAGCCAGCACCTCATTCTGGAGCTTTCCAAGAAGCCTCTGGCCACAGTGGTTCGATCAGTGTAGAAATACACACCCAGGGAGACCAGCAGGCAGAGTAGTGGTTAAAGCCCTGGATTCCCACACGGCTGACCGCAATTCCAGTCCCAGGCCCTATAGGTTGAAAATCACACCAGGCACGTGTGCATGCATGTCCAAAACCCCAGGAGAAGGGATTGTGGCATGGCCATCCCCCAGGGGAGGTGATTTCTCACTTTCCCTCTCACTGTCTCTCCCCAGTGAGTGCACATGCCCTAAGGCAAAAACCTTTTAAAAAGAGAGAGAATAAACACCCATAAATATAGTGAGTGAACTCAAAGTCACACTGACACGGTGCCGCCCTACACCCCTGCTGGTCTGGTAGGCTGTCCTAGAAAGGGAGGGAGAAGGGCAACTGGAAGGAGCTGAGGAGGAGCGGCGGACTGGCTGCAACAGCAGGGTAAAGGGCACTCGGAGGGCACGTGGTCCCTCCACCAGGGGCCTTCGGGGTCACTCTCGCACACCGTGCCCTCCGGGTCTCCTTCCAGCAGACGCCCCCAGATGCAGAGAGAACCGATACAAGCCAGTCACGAACCAGGCCACGAAGCTTGGGGAAAAGCATAGCCCAGACGAGGAAAACAGTTTTACTAGAGGCTATGCTGGGACACAAGCTCTCGCTGCCTTTTCCACACATTTAAGTAGGTCTCACTCCTCTATCTTGAGGAGGAAAATGCCTAGGACCATTTTCTATTAATGCACACTTCTGATTACAAAGTATGTTCCAGGAGGCTCAGAAATGTAATTTCACACCCACAGAAGGTTCTTTCAGTTACTCGTCCCCGGCAGCCCAGCACGGGGGTGGCCAGCACACCTACCTGTCTCTCGGGACGTCCAGGGCCGTGTTGTACTCTGGCGGACCTCCAGGCAGCATGTTGAACAGCAGGTGGTTTGTACCCCGGTCCCACCTAAAATTGAACAGTCAGACATGCGGGAGAGGTCACATGCTGCTCACCAAGAACAAGATCGGTTACCGGATTAAAAAGTAGCAAGGACCCCAACTCCAAACGAGGGTGCCTCTCGGGTGTGCAGAGTCAGCCCTAGAAACCCCAACCGGACGTCCGGTACTAGCCTGGCTCCTTGAAAGACGAATGAAGAGACACGCACTTCCAGCCTGCCCCCCACAGAACTGTTCCTAGTAACGAAACCCTGAAAACGACCTGAGTCCACCATTTGGTTAAAGAAGTGAAAAATAAACAAATGTAGAAAGCTGGCTAAATACATGATGGAACGTCTCAAAATGGAATACTGTACGACCATTGAAGTTATATTGTAAGAGAACAGGAAATCACTCGGAACTGTATTTGTCACCTGTTAAGGGGAAAAGGACCAGAGAGTTCGCACTATGAACACACTGCGGACGAAAAAAGCTCACAGGACTCACGTGCATGGGATTTCCTATATATATAAATAACTGACTGAAAGTCACATCGAACTCTGAACAATGGTTATCACTTAGAGGCAGGATTACGGGATCAACCTTCCATTCTTCTGCTTTCCTGTATTTTCAGGCTCTTTCCAGGGATCAAGCATGCAAGTGATCGGGGGCAGGAGGGACATACATAAACTTGAAAGGAAAACTATGGAAGGAAAGGCTGTCCTTAGTTTGTAAACCCTAAGAAGCTGGGCAACAGAAAAAAGAACTCGGGCCCAGCAGCTGGCGTGGTGTTTAAGGCACTGGACTCCCACAGGACTGTCCGTGGTTCGAGTCCTGGACCCAGTGGCTTGAAAGTCCTAACAGGCGCGTGTGCTTGAGTGTGTGCATGCTCAAAGTCCTGAGAGAAGACAGGAGGAGAAGGGATGTGGCATGGCCATCCACCCTGGGGAGGTGATTTCTCACTTCCCTCTCTCTGACTCTGTCTCCGGCAAGCACATGCACCCTATAGCAAAAACGTTAAACAAAAGAGAAAAGTTTAGAAAGTAGCAACAGCAGAAACCATGGGTCGCTCCTCACGGCTACAGAGGCCACACGCTGGTGGCTCAGGCTACATGCTGGAAGTGGCTACACCCCCCTCCCGGGAACACAGACAGCTACTGGAAGCTGGTCTGAAGGAGAACGGCCCCACCCCGCCCTCCCCTCGATTCGCAGAAGGACCATTTGCACGTGGGCTCCGGCCCAGAAAGTGTGAGATACCTAGACAGCTGGGCCAGCGCCTGCGCCGTCTCCTTGATGCGCAGAGTATCCTGGTTAAGGACATCGATGGAGGGGACGAACAAGCAGGCCCGGTTGATGTCATCGGTGTAGTAGTCGCTCTCAGAGATGGCGGTGAGCAGCTCGTTGTACTCCCGGGAGATGGTGCTGCTCACCGGGACACCCAGGTCATCGGCGTACTTTTTCAGAGAGTAGATGTACACCTTGATTTTGTTCTTCGGGTTGAAGCCGCAGCGGTAGACGTCGAAGCACGTGTGCATTCGGCAGCTGAGGTCCCCCCGCTCCGGGACGGGGCTGTCGGCAGGCAGCCTGACCACCGGCACGTCGCGGATGCTGCGCTTCTCCACACTCCAGTCGCTGGAGGACTCGATGGAGTGGGGCCAGAACTGGAACATGCCCGTGGCGATGAGGCCCAGGAGGACGATGGAGAAGAGGGTGATGTAGTAGATCCGGTGCTTGGTCTTCATTCTCGGGATGAGGGCGGGACCCCGGAGGTTGTACTTGACTGACGCACACATAATGGCACAGACAACCTCCTCCTCACGCTCCTGGTCATGGGGAGAGAGACCAGAGACGTCACGTATTCAGGCTGTCAGGTGACACTTGAGAAGACTGTTCAGATCTTTTTAAATTATTTAGTCTATTACTATTATTACTTTTTAAGTTTTTCTATAGGGCACGTGTGCTCGCCAGGGAGAGACACAGAGAAAAAGAGAGAGGGAAAGTGAAAAAGCAAACCACCAGGTCCAGGACTCAAACCACGGTCAGCCATGCGGGAGTCCAGAGCCTTACCTACCAAACCACCTGCTAGCCCAAGACTGTTCAACTTTTAATATACCTGTTTCTTTCCCTTAAATTATATGATAAAATAACAAAAATGGATTTTAACACTTCATGTAAACATATATGATATATGACATCATGTATTTTATAAATATCTAATATAAATATTGATATATGATAGAAACCAGACCCTATAAATACACATTCACTTAAAATATAAAGCCTGTACCTATGAGAGCCCAGGAAAAGGAGCACTGACCAAGAACAAAAAAATCAAAAGTAGAACTGCTGAAGATCGTTATTTTATTTTAAAACTCTTGCCCAACATAAAATGATCCTTTATCTGAAAGAACGGAAGCTCTGTTATTCTGGAATCTGTTTCCGTTCCTCCCGTCCGCGATTCGTCCCAAGTGTGCTGAGCACCTACCACGCACCCTGCCGGAAACAAAGATGAAAGCGGGACCCTGCCTGGAGGGACTGACGCGCCAAGAAGAGCGGGAGGGGGCAGACAAAACGACAACAAAATGCAGAATGTGGAATCACTGGGAACCAGCAGTTAGCGTAATGGCTATGTCGCTGGACTCCCACGTAGTCGACCGCAGTTCACATCCCGGACCCGGTGGCTTAAAACTCACGCCGGGCGCGTGTGCGTGTGTGCCCAAGATCCCGAGAGGAGAATGGAGGAGAAGGGATTGCGGCATAGCCATCCCCCCTGGGGGTGATTTCTCGCTTTCTGTCTCTCTGTCTCTCTCTGTCTGTCTGGCGAGTGCACGCGCCCTATAGCGAAAACCTCTCCAAAATGCAGAATGTGGAATCGCTGGGCAAGTATCAATAAAGTACAAAGGCGTATCAGAGAAGGACGTGCACTCTTTAAATCAAACACACGCTGATGTTTTACAAGGAGGCTGACACTTGACACCTTTCCATGGAAGGGAGGGATAAGAAAGGAATGGGGTGAGAGAGACAAAGGCAGGGCGGGAGGGAGGAAGGGAGGGAGAGCAAAGGAGGGAAGGTCGGTCGGAGGGAGGAGAGGCCCAGTGTGGTGGGTTTACTTCCAAAGAAGGACATCGACAGTTCCTCCAACCTCAAATGTGCATAGTCTGTTCCCGGTCAAAAGGCAGGATCTATGTCCCGTCCCCCAAGTCTGCGATGTGTGTCGAGGTAGAGAAGGGGCAGAAGGGACGTCTGGGACCCCTGAGCCCCGGCCTTGAGAGAGCCTACTGCATCCCTGAGCAGCAGCTGCCATACTGTGAGGACACCGAGCTCCCAGGGGAAGGCCCCTCAGCGAGCGTGTGGAAACCACTGGAGCAGAGAGGAGCCGTCCCCGCCCAGCTCTGCAGACGCAGAATCAGGAGCAGAGACCGCTGCTGTTTATAAGAGAGCACGCATGCACGTGGGAAGGAGGGAGGAAGAGTTTGGTTTGTTCTTGCCATAGGGTGCGTGCTCTAGCCAGGGAGAGAGCGAGGGAAAGTAAGAAATCACCCCTCCAGAGGGGATGGCCACACCATAATCCCTTCTCTTCCACTCTCCTCTCAAGATCTTGGGCATGACTGGGCATCACGCACAAACGTCCGGCATGATTTTCAAGCCGCTGGGTCTGGGATTTGAACCCTGGTCAGCCATGTGAGAATCCAGCACCTTAACCACCATGTTTTGACAGGGTCCTGCCATGTCATGATTCTCCTACCCCAGCCTTCCAATTAGCTAGGTCCACTCATGAGCCACTGAGCCTGGCCTGCTTAGAGTTGAACCAGAAGCAAACCAGTCTCCCATGTGACCTTCCGCTTGCACCACAGCAGCTGGGCCTGTTGTTCTAAGCCACTAAGTTTTGGGGTGGTCTGTTACACAGCAAGAGATAATCGACCGGCTCATACACATCATTGGCTGAGATATAAATAAAACCTTTTGTTCTCAGCTGATAAACACAGAGTCCCACTGTGGATCACAGTTGAAGATCCTGACCAAACTCCCCCCATGTGATGCCTGGGTCCTGTGGGGCAGGCCAGAGTCTTGGGCGTGGCTGCATCACGTGTCACAGACCGACCATGTTACCAAAGTGGCTCTGACGGTTCGTGTGCCAAGTCTAATCTGTAAAACAATCTCATTCTAATCACTGATCTTTCAGAAAAGCTGTTAATGTACAGGTAGTAACTGAAAGCTCATAGATTATTTTAGGGTTTACAGACTGCCTTCACTTCAGATAAATGGAGCCCTCCCCACCCCTGTCCACGGTACAAGGGCTTCCTGCCTGGCCAGCCGAGAGCTACCAAGCCTTGAATGCAGGAACCACTGTCAGCTTCCTGAGTTATGATTGCTTTCAACTTATCAATTTACCTCTCTCTAAGACCATGATCTAGAACCGACCAAGGAATTTGCTCGTTAGACTAATATATAAATCTCATACATTTTAAATTTAAATATTGTCATCTTTCGGATATACACATCAGCCAACTATTTGCTAACTGATTTTATGACAGAAATGTGGGCATGGGAGCTGTTTCACTTTTTCTGTCACTCTTACAGCCAGCAGGATGCCTCAGCCTGCCCCCACCTCCCTCCAGCCCGGCCTATGGCACTGTCTCCTTGCCATTCTGTGAGGCCCCCTGGATTTACAGCCAGGAGGTTCTGGGTCAGACGCATGCAAAGAGCAGGGCTCCACGGTCCCCATGCACTGTGAATCAAAACATCACCACGTATCCCGCAAATGCGGATGGTTATGTGACGATTAAAAACAAAACAAGGGCCAGACGGTGGCACAGCAGTAGAATGAACTCGGTACCCACACAGGAAGGTTCCTGGTTCAAGTCCAGAGACCTCTCTGCACACACCCGGTGCACACTTGCCCACAATCCAGGCGCGGGGTGAGTCAGTGTCAGGAACTTGCTGGGAGGACATTTCTCTGTCTCTCTCTCTCTCTCTCACTCAGGGAAGAAATAAACTTTAACTAATAATAATAATAATAACATAACAAAAGGAAACACCTGCCAAGGAGTTCTAAAGGTCTGTTTACATGTTAAATCAGTGGTTCCTAAGTACCTCAAGCTGAAGAAGCACATGGGAACATGGGAATTTTGTTAAAACACAGACCCCTTGGCCTCACCACTGGAGGTTGTTACTAGAAGGTCTCAAACAGGGTCATAGAATTTGTCGTTTAGCAACCCCTTACTAGTAGACAAACTACATTTTAAAAATAAATTCATTATTTTATTTTATTTATTATTATTCTTCAATTTGACCAGAGAGAGAGTGAGAAGGCAAGCCGCCAGGTCCAGGACTCGAACCACGGTCAGCCATGTGGGAGTCTAGCACTTCAACCACCTACCAGCCCCCAAAACTACTTTTTTTTTTAAGGCTTTTGCCATATGGTGCATTCATTCACTGGAGAGACACAGAGACAAAGAGACAGGGAAAGTGAGAAATCACCCCTCCAGGGAGGATGACTTTGCTGCAATTCCTTTTCCTCCAGTCTCTTCCTGGGATTTGGGGTAAGCATGCACATGCACATGTACCTGGCATGATTATCAAGCTGCTAAGTCTAAGACTCGAACCACAGTCAGTCATGTGGGAGTCTAGTGCCTTAACTACCATGCCACCTGCTAGTTCCCAAACTACTTTTTAATACAGTGGTTTTTGAACTTTTTAAAACTAAAACACACGGTAAGAAAATTTTATATTGTGACTCTATATAGACGTGTGTGTGTGTGTGTGTGTGTGTGTGTGTGTGTGTGTCTGAGTGAAGCCCAGTATTAGCCACAGAATACGCGTAAACCCTCTATTTTTTCTATTGTGTTATTCTATTGCTTTTTCAGAAATTCTGGCTATAATGTACTAGGTCAATTATACTACCTAGGAAAGGATCACCCACAGTCTAAAAAATACTTTTGACACGTAACGAAACTGAGGTTATGAGAACAGAAACAGCATCCTCACAGGAACTTGGCAATCATGAGTTGTAGATTAACTATAAAAACATCCCAACAGAATAAACCCAAAGATAATAAAAGAAAATAATAAAAACACAAATATTAAGTGATTAAAAAAAGAACAGATATGACCAACCAAACTACAAGTTGCTTAAAAACACAAACAAACTAAAATAAAACACTAGGGGCGTGTTTAAGGCACTGAACTCCAACACATGGCACGTGCCGGCCAACAGTGGTTTGAGTCCCGGACCCGATAGCTTGCTTTCCCATTTTCCCTCTCTCTTTCTGTCTCTTTCTGGTGAGCACATGTGCCCTACAACAAATTAAATAAAAATAATCATTTAAAATAATTTAATAAGTAAATAAATAATTCTTTTTAAAACAAACTAATCAAATTGACATGAGGCATAATTTTCATGGGATTAATTAACATAAAAGGAAAAAAGGCAAGTATATCTGGAAAGAAAAGACCATAACCTTAAATATTGCATAGATTCATAAGATAAGATGATATCAATGAACTTATGCCACTAAATTTGAAAACGTAGAAGGAGCAGAAAAGTTCTTTTAAAAGTATTTACCAAAAGAGTCTCAAGGAGAAATAGCAAATCCGGATAGTACTCTAACATTTAAGAAACTGAATGCAGGGGCCGGCAGGTGGCGTGGTGGTTAAGGGCGCTGGACTCCCACATGACCGACTACTGTTCAAGTCCCGGACCTGGCGGCTTGCTTTCTCACTTTCTCCCCCCCCCACCCCAGCCAAATTAAAATAAATAAATAAATAAAGTTAAAATAAAAAATAATTCTTTTAAAAAAAAGAAACTGAATGTAAAGTTAAAAAATCTCCCCGTAAAGAAAAAATTC